CGACCATTAAGTCACAAGTTGGTAGAGTTCACGGCGGTGGCAGAACTCGAAGCCCTGACCTCCGCTTTACCCAAGCCCTAAAACTTGGGGACCAACCAATTGGGTGACCTCCGCCTTACCCAAGCCCTAAAGCTTGGGGACCAACCAATTGGGCCACAGGCCCGGTTGGCAATACGAAATTAATTAAAAATTTAATTAAAAAATATCAAATAAATTTTACATATAACAAAGTTGAAAGAAAGTTTAGATAATGGGCTCATTAACTTCAATCAGGTTCAGGACATCAGAAACGAGGTCCGGAAGAAGGGTTACGGCCCAACGCGAAGAAAATGTTGGAAGGTTGACTTAACCTATGCATTGTTGATGGGAGATATAGAGCTTCATTTGGGTACACTAATGTATACAAATCAGCCCAGAATTAAATGGCAGGATTTTCTCAATTACTCGTGTGATTTAAGTGGATTAATTTTTTTAAAGTATATTAATGATATCTTTAATAATATAAACTATAAAGTTTGAGTTTTAAGTTTTGATTTTTTTTTTTTTTTTACTAACGACCTAAATAATTTAGTTGTCGTTTTTTTTTCATTTGAAATAAAAATATTATGAATTTAAGTCGCATGATACGTAGATGAGATAAGATAATGGATGACTGATAATTACCTTTAATTATACAAGTAAAATTAAAAAAAAATTGATGTATGATGTTTTTAAAAATAAATATTAACATTATCAATACAATTACCACCTAACAAAAAAAAGGGCAAGGTTTCATTTCATTTTAGTATGTTTTTTATGGCGAGGAGAAATTCACATGCAGTGTTTAGTAATTGGAGGGGACAAACCAGGACGCTTGACCATTGAATAATTTCGACATCTCAACTTATTTGGTGGGGATCATTTATTTTTTAAATTTCTTATTCTTCTTCTTTTTTCTTTTTTTTTCTCCTTCAAAGAGACCATTCATGTTGAAACTGACCTTGGATGACTTAAGTTTTGTGAATCCTGAGTTATAGGTTCGGTATTTAAAAGTTTACATAACAACCGTTGTAACTTGTCCTAGAAAAAGAATTTCATCGCATGATGAAAAAGTATTTGGCGTCAACGATTTTTTTTTTTTTTATTTAAAAGGTAAAACTTTACATTAGTGATAAACTCAAACTTATTTTAGATTTTTCTTTTGTTAAGTTTTTAAATTTTTATTAAAATAAATAAATTTATAAATTCATTGATATGGGTAATTTAATTATTTTTATTTGAGAAAGACATTTAATATTAATTTATGTCATTTGTGTAAATAAGATTAATATTTATTATGTAAATAATAATATATTAATATTTTATTTATGTAAATATATAAATAAATATTAAATTTATTATTAAAAAATATTAAA